ACTCAGAGAATGGGGGGTCACAGTATATACACCACGTACACTCAGAGAATGGGGGTTCACAGTATATACACCACGTACATTTAGAGAATGGGGGGTCACAGTATATACACCATGCACACTCAGAGAATGGGGGGTCACAGTATATACACCATGCACACTCAGAGAATGGGGGGGTCACATTATATACAGCATGCACACTCAGAATGGGGGTTCACAGTATATACACCATGCACACTCAGAGAATGGGGGGATCACAGTATATACAGCATGTACACTCAGAGAATGGGGGGTCACAGTATATACACCATGCACACTCAGAGAATGGGGGGTCACAGTATATACACCATGTACACTCAGAGAATGGGGGGTCACAGTCAGGGGTCAAGTCCTGGGGAAAAAGGTGTGGGAACTCACCCAAGATTCCCGCCTCCCCCCCCACCCCCTTAAAAATTATTATTATTTTTTTAAATTACACTCCTATGCATATAGTGCAGTGCAGGGTGTGTATAATGAAGGTAGTGTGTTTGTAGTGAATGCAGAGTATGAATAATAAATGTAGTGTGTTTGCAGTGAGTGCAGTGTGAATAATAATTGTAGTGTATTTGTAGTGAGTGCAGAGTGTGTTTTTAGTGAGTGCAGAGTGTGTATAATGAATGCAGTGTGTTTTTAGTGAGTGCGGAGTGTGTATAATGAATGTAGTGTATTTGTAGTGAGTGCAGTGTGTATAACAAATGTAGTGTATTTGTAGTGAGTGCAGTGTGTATAACAAATGTAGTGTATTTGTAGTGAGTGCAGTGTGTATAATAAATGTAGTGTGTTTGTAGTGAGTGCAGTGTGTATAGTGAATGCAGTGTGTATAGTGAATGTAGTGTTTTTGTAGTGAGTGCAGAGTGTGTATAGTGAATGTAGTGTGTTTGTAGTGAGTGCAGGGTGTGTATAATGAATGTAGTGTGTTTGTAGTAAGTGCAAATTGTGTATAATGAATTTAGTGTGTTTGTAGTGAGTGCAGAGTGTGTACAATGAATGCAGTGTATGTAGTGTGTTTGTAGTGAGTGCAGAGTGTGTACAGTGAATGTGGTGTGTGGTGAGTTGGGAATGGTGTATGGTGTGGTCTGCAGGGGGTGTATAGTCTGGTGTGTTTGGTGGGTGAAGGTGTGTATGTGGATGCGGCGTGTGCTGGATGTGTGTGTGTGTGGCTGGATGTGTGCTGGCTGGATGGCGTGTGTCTTGGCTGGATGGCGTGTGTGCTGGATGGCTGGATGGCGGGTGTGGTGCTGGATGATGTGTGTGGTGCTGGATGGTGTGTGCTGGATGGTGTGTGTGTGTGCTGGGGATGGTGTGTGTGTGCTGGATGGGTGTGTGTGGGGTTAGCGGGTGTGTGGGGTGCTGGATGGTGTGTGGGGTTAGCTGGATGATGTTGTGTGGTGTGGGTTGGCTGGATGATGGGTGTGTGTGTTGTTGTTGTGTGCTGGATGATGTGTGTGTGCTGGATGATGTAGTTGTGTGGGGTGCTGGATGGTGTGTGTGTGTGTGCTTCCCGGATGGTGTGAGTGCTGGATGATGGGTGTGTGAGTGCTGGATGATGTGTGTGAGTGCTGGATGATGTGGTTGTGTGTATGCTGGATGATGGGTGTGTGAGTGCTGGATGATGGGTGTGTGAGTGCTGGATGATGTGTGTGTGAGTGCTGGATGATGGGTGTGTGAGTGCTGGATGATGGGTGTGTGAGTGCTGGAT